TCAGCCATAAAAACTAACAACGTAACGCCATTTGCAGCAACATGGATGTTCCTGGAGAATGTCATTCTGAGTGAAGTAAGCCAGAAAGAGAAAGAAAAATACCATATGACATCGCTCATATATGGAATCTGAAGAAAAAACATAAATACAAAACAGAAACAGACTCATAGACATAGAATACAAACTTGTGGTTGCCAAGGGGGCGGGGAGTGGGAAGGGATAGACTGGGATTTCAAAACTGTAGAATAGATAAACAAGATTGTACTGTATAGCACAGGGAAATATATACAAGATCTTATGGTAGCTCACAGAGGAAAAAATGTGACAATGAATATATATATGTTCATGTATAACTGAAAAATTGTGCTCTACACTGGAATTTGACACAACATTGTAAAATGATTGTAAATCAATAAAAAATGTTTTAAAAAAAAGGAAAGAAAAATTAGAAACAAATGAGATACCCCTTTTGGCTACCAAATTGGCCAAAATTAAAAATAACAGTAATATTGTCAAGATATAGAAGCAATCTAAGTGTCCATCAACAGATGAATGGATAAAGATGTGTTTTATATTTTTATATATATACACACACAATGTAATATTACTCAGCCATTAAAGAAAAGAATGAAATTTTGCCATTTGCAACAACATGGATGGACTTGGAGGGTATTATGCTAAGTGAAGTAAGTCAGATAGAGAAAGACAAATACTGTATGATCTCACTTATATGTGGAACGTAAACAACACCCTAGTGAATATAAGAAAAAAGAAGCAGACTCACAGATACAGAAAACAAACTAGTGGTTACCAGTGGGGCAAGGGAGGAGGGGATTAAGAGGCACAAACTCCTATGTATAAAATAAAAAAGCTACAAGGACATATTGTACAACACAGGGGATGTAGCCAATATTTCATCATAACTATAAATACAGTATAACCTTTAAAAATTGTGACTCACTATACTGTAGAGCTGTAACTTATATAATACCATATATCAACTATACTTCACTTAAAAAAAAGAAAAACAGAATAAAAAAGTATCACTAATACTTAATGTTGCCAAAAATAAAGTAGGACAGACCCTTTAGAGCAGTGCTATCCGTATGCACCAGTGCAAACCACATATATAATTTAATACTTCCCAGGATCCATGTTAAAAATAAAAACAGGTGAAATTAATAATACACTTATTTAACCCAATACATATTGAAAGTGTTATTTAGCTTGCTATAAAGTTAATGAGATATTTACATTCCTATTTGGTGGAGTACTAATTCTTTGATAGGATATATTTTATACTTCCAGCATCTTAATCCAGAATGGAAATCTTATTTTAAATCTTGTAACATCTTCAGTTGAAAAAGGAGATTCAGGTACCCAAGTTGCACCAAACATACTTAAAGTTTTCCAGTAACTGAACTGAGCATCAGGTTTTAAAATTGACTCCAAATTAAAATGAAACTTCAGTTTCTCAGTCCCACTAGCCACACAGTGTCTGAAAACGCAGTTCTAGATTAAATCTGTCCACTTAGATCCACGTCCTGGTGGGGACGGGAGAGGCAGCTCTCCCCTCAGCCCCCTGAAACCTGTCACACAGGCTCTGATCGATATCCATGTGTATTTCAAGACTCACACGCCTCCTGCAGGGGATCCTTCCCCAACATCCTTTTCCATTCCTGCTGTGACGCCTTCCCACGAGGCCCAAAGCCCAGCGCCCACACGTCCTGAGTTCTTAGACCCTAGGTGGTAAATAACAACGGGAATAATAATAAAGCACAGTGGGTTCTATCTGCTGAGCAGACGGTGGCGTCAAGTGCCTTCCACTCAATAACCTGCACCCCTCTTGTTTACAGACAGGGAACAAGCTTAGAAGCGTAACATGTTAGGGTCACACGATCAGTAAGTGGAAGAGCCACTCACCGCTGGAAACAGAGCTAACCCGCCCTAAACCCCACACTCTCTCCCCTTCTCCCTGCTGTTCTGCTGTGTGTTGAGGCTCCCTCCCCTGAGCAGGCACCCGCAGGGGCCCCCACGGCGGGATCAGGGGCATTGAGATGCCATCCACAGTGTTGCTTCTTCTCGTTAGCCCAAACTGAGGGAGCCACCGTGTGCGAGCCTACTGGGCGACAGGCCCCTTGCACTGGGAACTGTCATTTCCCCGCCTTATATAGAACGCTGACTTACCCAAGAGCAAACAGCTAGGAGGCGGGGCTGGAATTTCATCGGCGAGTCTGTGTTCCGTGTGACTAGCGATGCTTGGGCAAGCCTGTCAGGCGTGGTGCTTCTCCCCTGCCCCAGTCTCTGCCTCTCAGTTTATCTAATACTGGTCTCGGGTCTCTGGTCACAACCGAGTATAACCCATAACGTGTCAGGCAGAGCCTTGCCTCTCACCGCCGCATGCACTCCACGTATGCTGAACCATTTCAAAGGCATATCGGGGTGGATCGCTGAGCACCTACTGTGTGCTAGCACTGCGCTGGGCATGCACTTGTATTTTCACACCTAAGTCTCATAACAGCCCTACAGACTGGATGTCACCAATTGCATTTAACAGATTAGCAAACTAAGGCTATAAAGACAGAAATGCATCAAAGATCATAAAGCGAGTATGTGGATGGCAGAGTCGGGTACCAAACCACGTCCTAAAGCATGAGTTCACTCTCAAAGCTCACTCCAAACACCACTCTGGGGCCACCTATCACGAGAGTCAGGCTCTGAGTAGGCATGCAGGATAGAGGAATAGGACAGATGTGATCCCGAGTCACAGGAGCTCAGTCCCTAACAGGCAGCTCTGCCGATAAAACGCACTGATGCCCCATCTCCGTGCACGGCCTCCTCCACCTGCCATCCTCCCGCCCTGCTGCAGTTAGATGGGGGGGACCTCTGGCTGAGTCCAGCCTAGAAGCGCTAAGTGACAGTAAGGGGAGGTTGTCGACTCTAGGCTGAAGCACTTGGAAGATGAGACACAATCCTTAGCTCTCCTCACAGGCGGAGCACTGAGCGGATGGAGCTGGCCTGGACCCAGAGCCACCACCTGGAGTGCAGCAGAGTGATCTCACAGCGTGGGGGTGGGGCCTCGAGTATGAAGCCGATGAGGGGTTTGGTACAGCATCAGAGCCTAACACATCCTGATTAACACAAGGAGATGTATGTTCAGATATTTTAGAAGCAATTATAACTTACAGAAGAAAGGCATAATGAGAGATTTTAACAGGGAGGCTGATCTGGTCTTGCACAGAAGACAACGGTTGGTAATGGGAGGATTGAGCTGAGATTTGCAGGTAATAATGGCAGGTGATAGTCATTGAACATCACGATGTGTTCTTGGCAAAACAAATAAACAAACCCCACTGCCCTCACTGGCACTTAGACTTGAGAGGGGAGGAAACTGCCAAGCCAACAAATTAATAACAGCGATTTCTGATCCCCACAAGCCCTCGGAAGAAAATAAAACAGGGCAATTCAGTAGAGAGAGGATTATTTTATAAAGGGCCTGTGGGGGCTTCTTTGAAAAGCTGGCATCTGAACAACTAAAGAGCTGGGGTGAAGATACGCCAGGCAGAGGGTACTGGTGATGCAAAGGCCCCGAGGCAGGGATGTGCGCAGCAGGTTTGCAGAACTGCAGGCTGACCAGTGCCACTGGAGCGAGGGGGTGCTGGGCAGGTAGGCAGGGGTCCGAAAATCAGAGGGCCCTCTGGCCACGCAAGAGTTCAGGTTTCATTTCCAGTGCAGTCAGATGCCATTCGAGGTTTTAAGCAGGGGACCTGCATTAGGTCATCACATCTTTCGAAAATGTCTCTTGGATACCACATGGGGGCACTGGGGGAAGCAGGGAGACCCCCAGGGAGGTTGCACAGATGTCAGGAGAGGGGACTCCCTCCCAGGCCCTGGGAGTTGGGTGAGTTTACATGAGGTAAAGAAGGAAATGGTGTCAGCTGGGCTGGGCCCTCCCCAGCACCCTTGTTGGGGGGAGGGTCACATGGCAGTGTGTAGGCAGCAACCAGCCGCAGCCACAAGGTGTCCCACTCTAGGTGGGCTCACTGGGGACAGTAGCTCAGGAGCCCGTGGCCTGGGGGTTGTGCCCGGTCCCACCCACGGGACCCTGATCAGTCCT